GGGGGGGGGGGGAGGGACGAGAAGTGTCTATATTGGTTCTGCACAGAACAGGCAGTTAAAAGTGTTGAAGCGTTTTGTCAGTTGATGAGGATATACGTTTCTCCCTCTCAGATTTGTGGCTCTTGTTAGGCCACATAATAAATGGAGGTAAAAAGCAGCTTACACATGCTGAACAAACACATTGAGTAGACCGAGTATTCGCTTTGGATGATTCCGATTGGTGATTTAACTCGCTTGTGATAGTTTCAGTATCTTTGATACTTCGGGGAGAAACTTTTTTCGGGACTGTGAATTGCATAGCTTCCAATGATTTACAAATCTATTTTGATTTTATTAAAACACCCTGGTGTTGATAGTGTATTTACGTACACGTAGATCAAACATACCCGGACAGTGATGCCGCTTTCCACCACGCAGTTCACATTGTGGGCCTTGCTGACTATTGTCGTAACGAGTTGCAATCTTTGGTAATAACGCTCAATTATCATCTGACTCAGTGTAAATATGGGTTCAACCAGTCAGTTTTGTTGTGAAACATAGAGCTGTTTTTGCTGCTGCTGCTGCTGTCTATTCTCCCTCGAGTCCGTATCAACCTTCACATTCACACTGTTGCGTGAATTATGTATACAGGAATAGGCATTTGGCGGGAGTGGTAAGTACGCATTATCGTGTCCATGTTTGTGCTTGATATGTACCGGTTTTATGCGGTTTACTACTAGTTTCATTTTCTCTATCACCCCGTGTTTCCTAATACACCCTCTCCTGTCGCTTATCTCCTCATCTTCCTTATGGTCATCCACCGATAGTTGTTTTTTTCCCTATCTGTTCCCATGTATATGCATATTCAGCCGTCATAAATTGGTCGTTTGACGAGCTCGTTTTGCATTGTGCATTAGTTTGGTGCGTACTGAGCGCGGCCGCGTCTGTAGCATTTGCAGAATAATCATTCTGATCCATGCACGTGCAGTAGAATGATTTTGACTTGCAGCTTCGATCTAATTACCTCCTCTTCCCCACCCCCCACCCCGTCATAGACGTTTGGGGGAGGGGATGCAGTTAATCTTGGCGAACGGGGGCATGTTTCTGTTGACTTCCCGATATTCCTCAGTTATTTTTGTTTTCTATTCTCTTGATCTAATCTTCACCAGTGCATTAATGCATAATCCTCGCATCCGTTTACTGTCATCGTTCTCACAAACCGTAACAGTTTATACAATCCACATTGCAACATGTGGGTCTTGCAACCTCCGGTTATTTAGCTTTTCTGAATTCAGTCGGGAAACTAAGTAGAGCACAATGAGAGTGTTCGGACAACAGCAATGAGGACAAATAAGGAAAATCGGAAGATGGTGGAATCGAGAAAACCAAAATAAGATTTTGTTGTAAACTACTCTTCCTGTCCGTCCCAAGGAAAATGGCTGTGTTGCGTGATCTGAACTGGTAAAGATTTGTTCTGCGGTGGGTCCTCAAATTCAAGATTGTCGAT